ACATCACACAAACATCTTATTCACCTGAGTACATTACACCAACACAGCAAATTTCATAAATATTAGATTACACTGATATCGAAGGAACTAGACTCAGTTCCGAAATATCGCTTACTCGAACCGTCCTGACCGCATAGCTCAGTTGGAAGAGCATTGGGCTAGTATCCCAAAGGTCGTAGGCTCGAATCCCACCGTGGCCAGGCATATTTTTCAAGCCTGCCCGGTGTGGATATACACTCAGAGTAACATCACACAAACATCTTATTCACCTGAGTACATTACACCAACACAGCAGATTTCATAAATATTAGATTACACTGATATCGAAGGAACTAGACTCAGTTCCGAAATATCGCTTACTCGAACCGTCCTGACCGCGTAGCTCAGTTGGAAGAGCATTGGGCTAGTATTCCAAAGGTCGTAGGTTCGAATCCCACCGTGGCCAGGCATATTTTCAAGCTCACCCGGTGTGGATATGCACTCAGAGTAACATGGCAAACATATTATTCACCTGAGTACACAACACCAACACAGAGAAAAAAAAAATTCATATTACTAGAAGATATTGGTATTGAAGGAACCAGATACTGTTCCGAAATATCACTTACTCGAACCGTCCTCACTGCATAGCTCAGTTGGAAGAGCATTGGGCTAGTATTCCAAAGGTCGTAGGTTCGAATCCCGCCGTGGCCAGGCATATTTTTCAAGCCTGCCCGGTGTGGATATACACTCAGAGTAACATCACACAAACATCTTATTCACCTGAGTACATTACACCAACACAGCAGATTTCATGATTATTAGATTACACTGATATCTAAGGAACTAGACTCAGTTCCGAAATATCGCTTACTCGAACCGTCCTGACCGCGTAGCTCAGTTGGAAGAGCATTGGGCTAGTATTCCAAAGGTCGTAGGTTCGAATCCCGCCGTGGTCAGGCATATTTTTCAAGCCTGCCCGGTGTGGATATACACTCAGAGTAACATCACACAAACATCTTATTCACCTGAGTACATTACACCAACACAGCAGATTTCATAAATATTGGATAACACTGATATCGAAGGAACTAGACTCAGTTCCGAAATATCGCGTACTCGAACCGTCCTGACCGCGTAGCTCAGTTGGAAGAGCATTGGGCTAGTATTCCAAAGGTCGTAGGTTCGAATCCCACCGTGGCCGAGCATATTTTTCAAGCTTGCCCGGTGTGGATATACACTCAGAGTAACATCACACAAACATCTTATTCACCTGAGTACATTACACCAACACAGCAGATCACTTGACATATTGTTATTGATATTACCGTACGTACAGCCACCGTATATTCATTACTCGTGTTTTTTATGCGCATATTCTCTCAGTAA